TTGTCCTGTCAATGGGCATCACTGAGAAAAGTCTGGGTCCATTGTCTTTACTCCCGTCAGCTATTTGTACACGTGGATAAGATCCCCCTGAGCCCTCTCCAGGCTGTCAGCCTCTCCTTGTACGAAAGGTCCTCCAGTCTCTTAATTATCTTTGTGGCCCTGCACTGGACTTGCTCTATGTCTTTCTTGTACTGGGGAGCCCAGCACAGGATCCAGCACACCAGATGTGTCTCACCAGGTCTGAGTAGAGAAGAAAACTCACCTGCCTCGATTTGCTGGCAACATTTTGCCTAATGCAGCTCAGGAGGCTGTTGACCTTCTTTGCTGCTACAGTGCTTTGTGGGCAGATGTTAATCTGTATAGGCCACAATGTCAACCCCTGGGGTACACCACTAGTTGCTGGCCTCCAGCTGGACTTCTTGTCATGGATCACAACACTTTGGGCCTGGTAGTTCAGCCAGTTTTTCAATCCACCTCAACTCTTACCTAACCTATACTTTGTCAACTTGTCTATGAGGATGTTGTGGGAGACAATGTCAAAGACCTTATTAAAGTCAATGTAAACAGTATCCATTGCTTTCCTGCCATCCACCAAGAGAGACTCCTAGTTGTATAATGCTATCAGGTTGGCTGAGCATGATTTCATGTATTTGGAAATGGTTTCCAGGTTTAGTTGCTCCATCACCTTCCCAGGGACTGAGGTGAGGCTGGTCAGCCTGTAATTCACCGATCTTCCTTCTTCCCTTTTTTGAAGATAGGAGTGATATTTGCGTTCTTCCAGTTCTCAGGAATCTCTTCCATCTGCCAGCTCCATGAGCACTCATGGCTGCAACCTGTGAGGCCCAATGGATTTATGTACATCCAATTTTTTAAGTGCTCACTAACCGGTCCTTCTCCACTAAGGGTGAGTTTCCTTTGCTCCAGACTTTCCTTCTGGTCTCAGGGGCCTGGGATTTCTGAAGGCTGGTCTTGCTAGTAAAGACTGAAGCAAAGAAGGCATTGAATACCCCAGCATTTCCTGTGTCATTTGTCACCAAGTCCCCTGCTGCAGGCCCGTGTTTTCTTTAGTCTTCCTTTTACTGTTTATGTACTTCTAGATCCTTTCTTGTAGCCCTTCACATCCCTTAACAGACTCAACTCCAGATTGGCCTTGACTTTCCTAACCCTGTCCCTGCAAGATCAAAAAGCAGCTTTATACTGCTAGGTCACCTGCTCCTGCTTCCACCTCTTGTACACTTCCTGTTCATGTCTGATTTCAGATAGGAGCTCCTTGCTCATCGGCGCAGACCTCCTGCCATCTTCACTCGTTTTTCTCCCATTGCTTTTTTGTCATTCATAAAGAAGGCTCGGACAGGCCAAGACATGGTGATGCAAGGGAAGACCAACAAGTAATACTTTTTAAGTGATTGCACAGGAGTGCAATGCCAGGGACCCTTGAGGATTAATCCCCTAAGCCTTGCCCCTCGGTGGAAGATGGGCCCAAAAAGTACAGTAGAGGTCTTTACATATGACTTCGCAGCATATTACAAAATGGAACCAGGTTCTCCTGTCAGAAGAACAGGCTGCACTGACTGAAGTTGACTAAGCTGATTTGTCATGGAATGATGGGACTCATTATTTTCTATAAATGGGTCATTGTTCCCTTTATCCCACACACTCAAAGCACACTGAAATCACTTCCTGTTAATGCTAAAAATTACAAGGGATCATAATTGCAAAAAAGAGATAATATCTCTGCTATTTCGCAGGGCTTTTTGCAGAGGCTGTTACCAAGGCCATGAGTAAGTAAATAACATTAAATGGTAGCTACTCACAAGCTATTGATTGTTTAGGTTCTAAGTGAAGGAAAAAATAAACTGAAACAGTTTGCTTTACTGAACTATGTGGTGATCAAAGACCTGTTTTACACTGCTGATGAAATAATAGGAAGGGGAATAAGAAGAGAGGAAGGAAGCTGATGAAAGTCAGTAAGGGTGCTGGGGGTTGCAGCTGGCAAGTGAAGCCACCTCTGAGAGCTGCTGTCATGGGTGGAGGAGTTGGCAGAGGGCCAAAGACGTTTGTGCGGTTTGATCCAAAGTGCAAAATTAAGTCAAAAGGGCTTCTTTCGATTTACTTACTTTACTTGCATCGTCCTCGTCCTTTGGGTATCCTGTTAAGAGTTTTATCTGCTGGCAGTCAAAATCACAAGCCCTGGCTGCTAATTTTCAACTGACCCTTACCCTTTGTTTTCCCTGTTCCTGCATGAAGTTGAAATATTAGGATGGATCTTGTTTTCTCAGGCCAAACAAGCCAACGTTGCACGGCATGTGAACCCTGAAGAGGGGGCACATTGTGACATTCTCTGTCCTTGTCCTCATGGGAGTGATGACCCAGAGGATGTGGGTAAGTTAATCAATTACACTCCTGCAGGCAGGCAGAAAAAGAGAGAACAGATCTGTTCTCTGGGGGAGAACAGATCCCATGGCTCACAGGCGGCTTTTCAGTTCATGGACTGGGATCATTCATATTTGAAAAAATCAAACCAGGTAATGAGAGCTGGCTTCCAGAAAGCAGAACCTGAGGCAGGTGGTGGGGCCAGTGTCTGCCTGCATGGGGGGGAGGTGAGAGGTAGCCAGGCCCTACGTCCCTCAAATGCCACACCTGATGTTTCTCTCAGCAGCAGCAAAAATAGCTCAACAGTGCATCAGCTTTATGCAAGCAGTTTGGTTGACCCAGTTGCCGTGGTTGTTTATTCCCCAGGACCTCAGCCCTAGGTTTGGTTTCAAAAGCAGTAAAAGCAGGAATTTTATTTGACTTCAAGAGGCCCTCAGTGTCTTAAAAGGAAGCAGAGGCTAGTGGGAGGGACAATTACTTGAGGTACCAAAATACCTGGTAGGGGGAAATGGTCAGTGAAAATGCGCTGTCGACACTTGAGAATTAGACCTTGTTTTAGATGTAGTGACTCAAAATCAGAATAATTGTAAGCCAGAATGTATTTTAGATACCTTTTCTTTGCATGTTGTCTCCCTACACACCTTTCCCCCAAAGAATGAGCTGTCTTAGGTGGTCTGCAGTCAAGTGTGTTTTACCTGTATAAAAAGCAGACAGGGACAAATTTGGCTCCATGACACTCAAGACACATGTTCTGGAAGGAAAGAAGACAGACGTTCTGGAAGGAAAATGTGTTTTTAACTCATATGAGGACATGTGGGAATTGCCATATCCTGGGGAACCAGAGAATTTTGGATCTCTGCCTCCATTTGTTTATCTCACTGGCTTCTGCAATGCTGACTGTGGAAACCGTGAGCAATTTCAGCTTCCCATTAACTATCAGCTATGACCTAGTTTAGTATTTCAGTTCTGTGTTGCTTGTTATTTTAGTTCCAGGAATTAATGCCTCCCTGGAGGAACTTGATCAAAGCAGGGGCTAGACAGTTAACAGAGTACTGTATGTGTGTCAGACAGTCATGCTTGGGTTTCCAAGATTCACTGAGATTTGAATAGGTCTTCCTGGGACATGCAATGGATAAGCCAGTGAAAGCAGCCAACCCAAGAAAAGTGAATAGCCGCATCAAAACTGGTATCACAACACCTGGCTGGAGGCTTTGATGATGTGACAAAGCTGATAAGGGTCTCATCTGATAAACAGTATTGCTGGGTTAAAAAGGACAGTGAACACGTGAGGGAAGGCTCTGAGAGGAATGAAAATAAGCCTAAACAGAAACCATGGTAGCACTTCTGTGTATATTCCCAGCCATGATCCAGCTCCCTACCTAGTGCCATGTGTAGCAGACAAACTTCCACTCTCCTTACTTAAGAAAATGGAGGCAAAAAGTAGTCTAGGGGACAAGTAGGCAGTGTGGGGTGTGTGCCCAGGCCACTTTCCATGCAGCATGACTGAGTCATTCATCTGCCCAAGCATGCCCCTGCATGAGAAGAAGGTTCCTGTACTTTTTCTGATACAAGCACAGAAAAAACTTGAGACCAGCTATAAACTGGGGGAGTTGGCTGGGGGGGGCCAGCGATTACCACTCGGGGACTGGCTGGGCATCCGTCGGCGGGTGGTGAGCAATTGCATCGTGCATCACTTGCTTTGCATATTCTATTATTAATTACTACTACTACTACTACTACTACTACTACTACTACTACTACTATTTTAGTTCATTTTATTTCAGTTATTAAACTGTCTTTATCTCAACCCATGAGTTTTCTCACTTTTACCCTCCTGATTTTTTCCCCCATCCCACCAGAGGTGAGGGGAGTGAGCAAGCGGCTGTGTGGGGTTTAGTTGCTGGCTATGGTTAAACCAAGACAATAAGGTATAGGTATAGTGTGTGTGTATATATACATAATGTTAGGTATATGGATATATTTGGAAGCTATAGCAGCATGTATGTGTCCAGGTAACGCAGGAGGAAATTAATCCTAGTGCTACCTCTTGTCTAATAGCCTCACTACCCCTAGCAGCTCAGCTCTCTCTGTCACGAAAAGGACCACAACTTCTGCCTCTGATTTTGGGACAGAAGTGGCTCAAGCCAGATGAGGTGCACCAGGCATGTGGAGTGGCAATATAAACACCTGCTAGCAGGAACAGCTCCTGATTTGTAAGTGGGAAGGCAGGCTGTTTGTACCTCTCCTACCCTCAGCTCACTGGGCATTTTGAGGTCAGTGTCTTTATCCATGATAAGATGTGGCCATAGCTACGCACAGCTACCTGGTCCTCATTTGGATCAGGGCTAAGGTCACCTCTGACTGATACAGCTGTGAAAAGATAAAGCAAAGTGCTGACAAGAGAGATACTCATATTCTGAGAAATTAATTTTATTTTCCTTAACATAGTATGAAGAAGGTGTGCATTCCGAAGTCCTGCACTTCTGATTTGTTTATAGCTAGAGATTTTTTATTTCCTGTAGTCATTTCCTCCAGTTCCCTCCAGCCTCTGGTATAAAGTGATCAAATAGTAAAGTCCAGAGATTACAATTACTCATCTCTTCACTGTCTGTTGTGTCATTCCAACCATGAGACTCATCTTTCAAGCATGTTCAATGATCTTCACACTGGGCAATCTGGTGGCTTCTCAGTCACAATCTCCTGGTAAGTTCAAATCCACAGATATTTATTTAAGAAATTAATATATTAGTTAGCAATATTTCTGTGCATGCATTACCTCATGTGTTACAATATTCAGTACTTTTTTTGGTGAAAAGTATCAACCAAACAGAAACTGATATCCAGCAGAGATGAAAGTGGGTTCTTAAAAAAAAAAAACAATAATGATGATGAAAACAGATTTTTATGACAGTTTTCTAACTAAAAATCAAGGCAGAACTAGCTAAGCTTGTGTCTGTTCTTTAAGCAGGACTACTTACTGTCTAAAGCATAGGTTATAACAGAGTAGACTGCATCCAGAAAAGACTAGCTTTCACACTGAACAAAGATGGATAAAACAGATTCTGGGTAAGACTTCAGCGCTTAGTATTCTGGAAGAATGAACACAGTGGGAAAATATCCAGCAATGTCTTGCCCCTGAGAAAGCATCAAGGTAAAAATACTATTAAACAGCAAAATTAATAAATACATTAAACACTGGTTATCTGGCTACCTAAATATAAGAACATATCTATTTCATGCATTTGTCTGCAATGCCATTACTTACAACTTGCCAAAGATAAATGGATTCTTACAGAAATCAAACACAAAGCCCAACACATAGACCGATAATCTAATCTTTACTCTTGTTAATTTATCACAAGTTCCCTGTCCTTCATTTTATAAGGAGAAAGAAATACTTTAAAGTTATGCTCTCATCTTATCAACCTATAAATCAGCTCTCTGTTCTGCTGTATGTACGGCAAGTACCATTTTCGGCAATGCAGCACCACCTGATTCTCCAGTGTTAATTGCTCCTGTGAGTCACTGGCTCTCCTGTGAGGGGACATGAATCTTCCCTGTCCTGAGATGGCAACCACCTATAGCCATGCTGTACTGATGGCATGGCTTTGTGGAACAAAAGTTGAAAATTATAGTTCTGGTGCTTGTTTGATGCAAATGCTTATTTGATGCACCATGCCTAGCAATGGTGGGTGATCTTCTGAAAAAAAAAAAACCCACTCAGTTTGATGGGCTATAAGAATTATGCTGTAAGAATTATGTCTTGCCTCAAAATGTCTATAAAAAACTCTCTCTTGCTCTCTTGTTCCTTTTCTTGAAAAGAGGTTTTCTATTCCATCTCTGTCCTGTGCCTTCAATTCAGCAGTCTTGTGCGCAAGGAGTTGCTCTTTTGCCTACATGTGTTCCTACTAATGAAGTGAAACTGTTCTCATAGATCAGCAGCATTAAGGGTAACTAAAGACTGTAGGCTCAGATCCGGGTCTTTCTCTCCAGTAGTTTCTATACAGTGTGCTGCAATATGTGGAAGTTCAACATGTGGTTACTTATCAGGTTTCGTCAGTGTAAGGAAATCAAAAGTGTTTTTTCTTCTTTGTTATGTTTCAATGAGGTTGCAACTGTTCCAGAACATGCATGTTCCATTCTGTTATCTTTGCAGATTGACATTCTGCCTCTCCTTTTTCTCTCTTTTGATCTGTTCCATGACATTCAGCCTTTTTACAATGTTCCCCTTCAATAGTATTTTTTCTCAGCAATAAACTTTGAAAAGTGCCTTGGAGGTGGAACGTACTTGCTCATCTTCTTGCTCATGGTTGTGCCTGCATAATTTATTGCCTAAGGAAATTTCTTTTTTTTCCCCTATAAAAGTACTTTCTCCACACACCATAGTTGTATTTTCCACTATGAGAAGCGCTAGGAACCCTGTGAGGTTAAAGTCTTGTGTGGAGCCCTACCAGTTCCCATCTGGTTTTAGCCAAGATGTAGACTTGGATAATTCTCTCTGAAGGTCATGCTCCAGGGGACTGGTATGTGTCATACAGCACTGCAAAATACTGCATACCTAGCTAGACCAGCAGGCCATCCTCAGACAGAAAGTTGCTGCCACCCCTCTTTAGCCCAGGGACTGCCTATTTGTAATGTTTTTTACCTTTCCATTATCATAATACAAAGAATAATGATAAATGTTTTACTTTGGACTCTAGGATCATGAATAGAAGAATGTTTTAAATAATTACAATTACTGTGGAAGAGCTGGCTCATCAGCTGAGAACGATCCATGGTGTTGCAGGTGGATTCATAAAAATTCCATCATAAAGAAAGGGAGAGAAATGGTCCCCTCTATTCTCTTTCTCTCTACCTCTTTCCATTAACAAAAGATGTAAATGATTCTGCCTCCAGAAGCATGGCTTCAAAAAAAAAAAAAAGGAAACTAAACACCCTCTCAGTTAAAGACAAAGGAAAGATCATGAGAAGAAAATACCATATTTCAGATAACCTGTACATATCCACAGAGGGTTTGATGTCAATTTAATCCAAACTTTAAAAACCTCACTTAGGCTATGCATCTTTTCACTTTGAAATGTGAATTATGCAACATACACATGCTATAATTTGAAAAGATGCATGCAAAGGTTTATTGAACTTTTACACAAAACACAACTCATACCACATTCAAAAAGGCTACAAAACTCATGAAATTAGAAAGCACAGTAGAAAATTGCCCTGACTAGAGCTCTAGAAACATGGTCTTTAATCATAAAAGATTGGTAAAGCCTTTTCTGTCCTACATAGCTACTTAATTATGTTAAGACTGTTTTCTTATGAAGTTCTTAAAAATTAGAGCACAGGAAAGAATATGTATATATCACCAGATAGTTTATTACAATTTCTGTTCATTTCTATTAAATGATTCTATTCATTGTTAAAATATTTAATAACATATTAGCTTCAATTTTAGTACATAAATAGCTGCAGTTGCTGGAGTTTATATTTAAGTGTTAAAATCCCAGAGTTTCAATTCGTAATATGCAGGTGTTTTGCAGAAAAAGCTTCTGATCCTAGAAAGATTTGTATGTGTTGTTAAGTTGATGTGCTCTGAGTAATTCTGCTGAAGTCAAGTGGATTACTCAGAGTGTTAAATCCATCAATAAATCATTGCAGGACTGGAGCAAAACTGATATTCTTCTGTCTTCCAAAAAAATATGCATTGCCAAACCCAAGATTTAGTGTGCATCTCTGAATTTCAGCCTGTAATAAGTAGTGTAGAGCTATCATAATATAACTGAAAAATAGAGAATAATGAGTGTTGTCCAAAGTTCAGAATGAATTGGTGTCTTTTGTTGCCTTCCAACAGGCTAGTCAGATCAGACCCTCAGCTTTTACCTAGTGTCCACTCCTTAGTGTGTGGAAATCTTGTGTGGTCCCTCTGGTTTCCTTGTTATCCGTATCTAGAACCAACCACGCCTTGAACTCATCCACTGCCAGTTTGAAGAGATCGAACACTCCATTAAAAGAACTTCATGCGATTCAGGGTTTTGATGCTGGTGTCCTTTTTGCGTTGGAATTGAGGGAAAATGTGGCACCTTGAAAAAGGATTTCAAGAGTTGGCCTGTACGAAAAGGAAAAGGGTGGGTTTACCAAAATCTTTACTTTTATTTCTCTGCTGGCAGTGTCAGGGTTCTGGGATACATAGTCACAGGTTCAAGCACACATCACCTATTCAATCTAAATATTGGCACCATAGTTTTTCTCAGGTGTATAAAAAAAATTTGCATGAACAAATTCTGTGTGATCTCTCTCACAGTTAATGAACCAGTGCTATTTGTGTCAATTCCACCAATTTCCCTATAAACATAATTTAAAAAAAAAAAAAGTTATTTATACTGCCCAGTAAGCAAAAATTCATTCAGAAAGACTAAGCAGTACAGTATTATTTTACCACTCTGAACTTGGAGGGATAAAACTCATAGCATTGCAGTATTTTCCTCTTGGAGGTATGTAAAACAAGCTTTTCCTCTCCTTTCTTCTCTTCTTTTAATGGTGTTGTCTGTTTAGGTTATAAATTCCCTTTTTCCTCTTCCTCCCTTTTTTCTGTACCTGTACAGCCCTTGTGACCAAATTGACTGAACACCTTAGAGTGATTAGAATCATTTTTCATAGCAAATTCTATAAGATCCCCCAAACCCTTTACCGATCATTTGACATCTGCAAGCACCTACTTTTCACCTCTTTGCTTTACAATTCCCTTCAGACTTCAGATACTAGCAGCTCCATGGTACTGAGCAACCTGAGACCAGTCTCAGATATAAACCCAACCCGCACCATTTGCTTAACACTGGAAATCAATGCAAGCAGACCTTTCACATTGTGGGCCAACTGCTGCAACCTCACAGCCAGAGAGCAATGGGACAAACGCTGGATGTTGAGCCCACCCTCCAAATAATGGAAAAATCACTGCTGTGTTTTTCAGTGGGGCTGCCCAGGTGCCCAAGTCCAAGTGAGGGTTTTGAGCTGGCACCCTTCATCCGGTAAGGGTCCTGGCACAGCCTGGATTAGTTGGCTATGCCCAAGACAGGCCTCTCAGATGCCCACTCTTTGTTATGTCCTACTGGCGAGACTGCACGCCTCTCTGCTTAGCCCATAGCCTATTCCAAGCGCAGGAAGTTGTGTGTGCACAGCTCTCTGCAGAGATGTTAAGCCACCTTCTGAGATTAAACTGAAGAATTTTGTTCATGTTTGACTTAAAAATTGGTTCAAAAACATGCCCTACAAACAGCATTTTGCCATCTGTCATTGTGCTAAACTATTGTGCCTATAGAAACAAAATGCAAATTAATTTTGAAACCAATTGTCCTTGAAAATATGTGATTAAGAAAGCAAGTACTCGTCCTGTTTTTATTTTCATAAGTGAAGCATGGACATTAGCAGTTCTTTCTCAAAGTGAAAATATCTGCAATCAGACTAATTATAAAAAAGTGGAAAGTACATATTTCGTTGCTTCTAAAGGGAATTGAAAGGATTCATTCTATACTCATAAAAATTATCTCAGGACAGTACAGTATTCTCCATTTGCTAATATTTATATTCTTTTTTATAATGTTAATTTTATTTAAAGACGTAGAACATGTAATTATAATTCAAATATGCATTAAATATACATTTAACTATCTTTATAGAAAATCTAAGTCCAAGTAGTCATATGGATTTCAGTTACACTAAGCATAACACTAGATACTGCGCAGCACAACCATGTGAAATTTTAATCCATAAAAATTGAAGTGTGTTTGTTAGTGCAATTGCAGACCAAGAATCCACTGTTAGGCTATTTGCCATCATATTTCTTAGTGGCTTTAGTTAAAGCCAAGATCATCTCTTAGACCTGGTGAGGGGACTTACAAAGGGCTTGAGGAGTTAGGAAACAAGGGCTACCTCTTTTAACAGAGATAGAACTGGCTGGATAAATTCCATTTTATGATAGGTTTTGAGGTTTTGAAGTTCTGTTTTTGCTTCAGCATGTAATGGTACTGACTTCTCTATTCTTCAGAAAAACACATGAGATTTTCAGTTTGAGAAAACAATAGAGAACAAACCTGCAGGCATTAGTTAGGAGAAGGAGGAGTTAGTTTCAAGTCCTTCTCTTGAGTAAGAGCAGAATCTTTTTTACCAGAGCTCCATGAATCACATAGCAGGGACCTGCAGCCATATCTACCCAGTGTCTCTTGGATTTCTGTCATAACTGTCTCTTGAATGATTTTGACAAAACAACACGTTACAACACAATTACACTTATACAAAAATGTTTTGACTAACTCTAATTACAGAAGTAATGAAACACCTAGACACAGAGATATAGCCATGAAAATAGGCAAAACTGTTACTTGAAACCACATGCCTTAGTCTTTCTTAGTGTTGATTATGGAGCAAAAGATAGCAACCATGAGGATAGTTAGGCCTGATTCCCATGAACATTCAGGATCACTGTATGTGATAAAAAGCTCATAAGAAATGTTTTAAAATTTTTCGACTTTAAACCCCTTCAGAAGTCCAGAGTGGCATCAAATGTAGACAGCAATCAAAGCTAAAATCTCCTATTCTCCTGCTAGGCAGGAATATTCCAGCAGAAGTTTTTAGTGGTAGGCACTTCATGTCTGGAGACAGCAGTCTGAAAATGTTACCCTCAAGTGGTTTCTTGCTGATATTCAAGACACATTTTCTCCCTCTTTGTTCATTCAAGTAAATATAATTTCACATCTTACAGAATGCAAAATAAATAACTTGTCCTTCTCCTTGATATAGAATGGATTTCTAATCTTTCCTCCCTCTTAAATTCTCCGGTTTTCTATGTCAGATTTATCTTCGGTGTCTGATTGTAGAATCCTGATGGACACAGATTTAAAATACCTGTGTCCCTAGCAAGAGCTATAACAAGGAGCTCAGAAGAGGAAATAATATCTGCATGCAGTCAGAGGACATTAAATGATCTTGCTTCTCTGTAAGGTGGAATTAGCCAGAACTACATAGATCAAATATGCAGTACACCTACTTGAGCTGATCTGCTCTGGGTTCATATGGGTCTTGACCTGGTCTTGACCTGTGGTGCTAGTCCCTTGTTTCTTACAGTAAACATCTGACAGTTTACACACAGTGGTATTAGTTCCCAAATAGTTTTCCTTAGCAGGAAAACCTTAGCAGGTATGATAGGGGAAAGCTGGCCTCAAGGTATAGGCCCTATGCATTGCATACACGTGAACCAGTCTATACCTTTTGGCCCAGAGACCATGGGCTGCTCTCTGGTGTTGTTGTGCATGCTTTCATTTTGCTATTTTGAAATTCTAATTTCAACTTCTGTATGTTATTTTACTCTGTTTCCTTGCATTTTAGATATTCTTATGTCTTCTTATTTTATGATCATCAGAGTCTATTGCATGCGTATCTTTGAAATACTGATTGCCTACCAATGTCAAGGGATGCTTTTCATACTCACTGCTGAAATCATATTCTCTGTCAATGCCCTGGGCAGGCTGGAAAGATGCCATCAGCACCACAATAATCAATTTCAATAACGAGAAGATGCAGATCACATGGGCAGCAAGAGAACTGTTTCCCAGCGAGAATGTGTCATTTTCTTATACGTGAGTATTGACAATACCTATTTTTCCCTTCTTAAAGGATTTACTTTGGGAGGCTGAAATATCTAAGTCCATTTGAGTCTTCTGTGAACTGTACCTGAAAAAGTTTTTAACATTTGTTAATCATCCAGCATGAAACCTGTTTATGTTCACAACCTGCTACAGAAGCGTACAAATCAATAAGCCTGCCGAATAGTCAGTTACAACAGACATTATATGAAAGATTTGTCCCTCTTCTGTCATTGTGCTAAATGCTAATGCTAATTACACTATTGAAAGTGGTTTTTCCACATATGTGTGTATATTTTCCTTGTTAACTGATGTCATTAATGACTAACAGAAATTTAATGTTTTGGTTAAAGACAGTAACAGTGCTTGCTCTTCCCTTTTCTTTGTGGGTGGTATATGTGAAAGACTTTTTAGCAGTAAAATTTTGGAAACAGGTTCATGAAAACTTCTGTTTGAGCAAGTCATTCTCTTATTAGAAAACAACAACATGAAGGAAACTTGATAATTTCAGACTGCATCTAAACCCAGGGCTGGAAAGTCAATGAGGTTTGGGTAATGAATTCCCTCACACCACTATGAAAGTTGCCGCTTCAAGGAACAAAAAGGAATTAACTTGTGCTAACTGGTAAGAGTGTTCCATTCACCAATATTATTTCATTTATAGATTTGATGAAGGCAAGCACAAAGTTTGGAAGCCGTGTCCCACCTATTTATTGGATCAAGATTATAATTCTGGATGTCTTTTTGAGGCAGAAGGACCCACCCTTGCCATCTCTATCAGGAACAGCAATGGAAGTGAAGAGCTTTTTTCTAAAAGACTAAAATCTGATTTTTATAGTAAGTATGTAAAACCACAGCTACTTCAGTAGTCCTAGTGTCTTCACTGATTCTCTAGTTGTCTCTAGTTGTTTGTTGAAGAAATCAATTATATTGGTGTGTAAAATGTTATCAGCATGTGCACCAAAAGCAAACTATAGTTATTTCATGATGATTTCCATCCCTTGCTGTCATGAATAGTTACACAGGCCTGTGTGCAGCTGCAGTTAAGTGGGATTACATGGGACAGTCAGATTTGTCCCAAAACACAGTTTCAAAATCAGAATAAAAATACTAAAATATATGGGTGTGCTTAGTCTAGTGCAGGCCTAATCAGTATTCATATCAGGAAAAAGAATAAAAGTTGATAGTTTCTTGTCTTAGTGCTGGCTGTGTGACCTTTCTCATATATTCAACCTTCCATTCTTTTGCCATCTTCCATGGGATACAAGGCAGCAAACTACTTCTTATCAAAGAAGCTGTCATAAAACCATCAGCAGATGTCACCAGAAATTAGTTGAGTGGCTCTGGTACAATCTGACAGCATAAAAGAAACATCCTTTTACTAGTAGAGACACAATGTTCCTGGTTTTAATAAATCCTTCTTGCCCCCAAATATGTATTTCATATCTAGTATGAGATTAGTTTATCAAAATCTTCTGGAATTGCACATAGTTACAGCATTTAAAGTGGAGGGATTTTTTTCTGATAAAAATCATGCAGAAAATATACAACGTGGAATTATCAGAAAAAATATATGTATTCCAAATGTATTATTATCATTTATTAATAATGTTTTACCAAAAGGGATTAAACAAAAACCTGTCAAGGCATCTAACTTTGAGAATACTTTTATATCTTTAGGATGAGAGGAAATGGCCTCAAGTTGAGCCAAGGGAGATTTAGATTGGACATTAGGAAAAATTTCTTTACTGAAAGAGTGGTCAAGCATTGGCCCAGGCTGCCCAGGGAAGTGGTTGAGTCACCATCCCTGGAGGTATTTAAAAGATGTGTAGATGAGGCATTTAGGGACATGGTTTAGTGGGCATGGTGGTGTTGGGTTGACGGTTAGACTCCATGATCTTAGAGGTCTTTTCCAACCTTAATGATTCTATGATTCTATCTCGTAATTTCACCAATATCTGGTAAATTATGGAAAGCTACAGCCTGATCCTCGAATTTTGGCTGTTAAACACCCACTGATAGTAAAATGAATTTCAAAAGGGTTAGGTAACAAAGCATAAATATCAAAGTTCAGACTTAAGTCTTTAAATTAGGAAGGCAAATAATACAAAAAGGCAACTAGAAGGATTGAGAAAGCAGGTAACACTCTTCTTACCCCTTTTTTTCCCACTACTGAAGACTAACCAGCTACATAGATCAAACCATTTCATGTTCTTTGGACCATATGAAAACAGTGAGTGGTAGATTCAGTTGTCCACAGGTAGACACCCAGCGCTTTTTGCAGGTGCCCTACCATATTCCATATAGCCTCCAGCAGCTGCACAAGTGTCTCTTGTAGGTTTTATGGTACTGAATTTGTTGTTCCCTTTCCAACGAAGAAGCCTCTTTCTTTCTCTTGATTGCAGGGAGTGAGTATGAGGAGACTGGAGTCCTTCCTTAAGTACTTACAATAGGTTCCTGGCATGAGATAGTATCTACCTTTGAATGTGGCACCTCGAATGATGAGCAGTCATGGTGTCAAGCTCCATTTTGATGTTTAATAGGGAGGTCAGCTACAAGAATGTGTCCTCCAAGAAGAAAGTCCACCTTCTTCACTTACTACTCAGAGAAACATTGAGACAATGAAGGAATAACAATAATTTTAACTGCAAAGTACTTCTTTTTAAAAGACTATAGCATAATTTGTTTCTCTTCTTCTTAGTAAAGCCCAATCGACCAGAAAATGTGACCTTCTTCTGGAAAGAGGACACTGTTACTGTAAGCTGTAATAAACCAGAGAGAGCTGTGAAGTGCTTGAGACTTGAGGTTCAATACAAAAGCAAGTTTGACAAAGACTGGCAAGTGAGTTGGACATGACATTTTTAGTCAACATTGGAAGGAGCTGGAAGTAGCATCTCCATAGAATGTAAAATATAGTTGTTTTCGAATTGTTCTCCCATCCTATATTTTCAAATATGGCTGGTAGGAGAAAACAGCTAGATTTTTAGGATCATGGATCCCTGCCATGCCAGAAAACATTTACTTTTTGAGTTATATGTAGTTGCCACCCAAAGAACTGAGGACAATCTAAGGGAAAGGTCATACATTCAGAAGAGAGGAGTTTTGGAAGACAAAAGCAGAAAGCAGAGTAGAGTAGAGAGAGAAAAAGGGAGAAAAAAACATGAAATAGAATGAAAGAAAAGAGATGACACAGGATTTTTATTTATTCTTAAGTTAGCTGTTAAGTATTTCTAAATATTATTTCATTGACTTAAACCTTTCCAGTCTCAAATATAACTTGTAAATATTTTGTGAAGTGTCTTTGCATATTGTAAATATGCAACTGTAACATAGTGCACTATGTAATGATTGTTATGACCTTCAACTCAGTATCAGACAATGAGGAATGGCTATGAATAGTGAAGAGTCAGTCAAGAAACAGAATTCTTCGAAACTCAGAGAAGTTAAAATGCAGTTCTGAGGTTTTGGGTTGGCCTATCCCTTGTCCTAGTTGTGACCATGACTGAATGTAGCATTCTTAAGCACTGTCTTGAAAACCAGAATTAACGATTATTACACCTTCCTTCTTAGTCCAGAACTTCTAAGTGTTGCAGTGTTGGAGAGCAAGGCTTTGATCCAAGGAAATGCTATTCTTTCCGGGTCAGACTGAAGAGGCTAGTACCCTACTGCAATGTAGTTGATTACAGCAGTGACTGGGAAGCAGAAACATTTTGGATGAATGGAACATTATTAGGTAACAGCTGCGCTACATTCATATACTGTCTAAGTACAAATGGGGAAGGGGTGACTGCAAAAGATGCTGGGAACATGAAGCAAATTAATGTTGCACTGTTGTGCTCCATCTTCTGTTATCAAAGAAAGTTCACGTGGATGTCTAATTGCCCATATTTAATTCCTGTCCACTTTGTTCCTGATGGCCCATAACACTATAATTTGTGCCATAATCAGCACTGTTAAGAGTGTCCTTATTATTTGTGTTACAATAGTGTCTAGGGTCCACCAATGACAGCAATGTGATGCATGGGGGGGAGGGGTGTGTGTCCCCACATATGATATGTGGACATCAAACCTGAACCCCAAGAAAATCCTTGATGCCCCATTTTTGAAGGCAGTTTGTTTTGAAAGTACGTCCAGTTGAACTACAGGACCAGAGGTCATAGCAGTCTGATGCTCATATGTGCTGGATTGATCAAAACAGGGAGGATGGGGGAAAAGAGGTGAAATGGAAGCAAAGTTAGTATCAGCACTGCTTTCCCACCAGACAGACACATTTAACTGAGTGCGATTGACTGCGATTAGATCTTTGATGGAAATAGTATTTCTACTGGTTGTCAAAACCAAAAAACAGATTTCCTGTAGTAAAGACTGTACACCATTCCAACACATTCGTATCGTACCAGCTAAGCACAAAATGCCACCTACTAAACTTTATCAGAACTATGACACACTCAGATGTCCAGTGTACCCAGATATGAGTTCTCTAAAACGCTATGGGCTGTTAGCTCAGCTGAAGAAAATTTGTATACACAAAGCTGGGATGAACTGCTGGAGCATAGGTATGTGTAGTCTGTGAACTACTTGTAGCCACAGTGCTAACCTCCATAGAAGCCTCCTCCACCATGCAGATCATGAGCCTGCAACAATATCCTCGGGTGTGGCTGGCAAATGCCCTTAAGAAAACACAGAGGACAATGTCTCCCTGTGCATCTCTGAGGGTGAACACATAACAGCCCTACCCGGACCATTTGACCAGAGGCTTCCAGCAGGTAACTGCAAGGAAGGAAAGCACAGACTAGACAGACTAATAGTTCAGTTGCTCTGGGTGTCCCTAGATCAGAAGTGACATTGGCACAGACCCTTCACTGGGACAAGCACTTCACTTCAGGACGTTAACGAGTTATTACTGACTCCAAATCTAATATCAGAGGAAGCCATGAACAAAGCTGTGCTCAAGAAGTTTCATAGACTCTGAATACCTTACTTGGGGATCACAACTTTTGTTGTGGCTTTCTGGCAAGCTGAACAAAGCAGGCAGGTGGAGCAGGCTGGACAGTTGCTCCTGTATTAATAATCATTTAGTTTTTATAGTAATCATGTGGAGAGCAGAAGGTCAGTAATAGGAGGTAGAATTTTGAGGTGGCATTACAAAAGCTGCAGGAAAAACTCTGAGAATGCCGAATATATATATAACACACAGATATATAGTTTTATATATCTGTGTGTTAGATGATATCCTGCAACTAGTTACTTTCTGGGTATCAGCACTTGTGGTTTGCTGGCTTTTGGTTTGCTGAGATGGGGAAGATGTTGTTTGTTTGTTTCTTTTACCTTGGGAAATAAGACATTTAGGCTACATGTAAAATTGCACTTGTAACTTTGGTGATTGTAAGTAGGTGTATGTAATACAGATCTTAGCACAAAGTTGCTGTATCACTGTCAATGCAATGTGATGAAGATGAGAAGAAATACTTAATTCATTCATAACACCTCTACTCTTTGCCTGTAAGCCCACCTCTTTTGTCCTGTACCAAGTCAATTTAGATAGATAAAAGCACAATTCTCTTTTGTTGCAAGGTTTGGGGAAGGGTGGCTTTTCTTTTCAGTTTCAGTTGAACAATTGAACTTGTCTTATTTGTTCTTTAAAAACTTTTCTGGTTTTTTTTAAAAGAAAAATCAATGTTCTAGTGCGATTAGGAATATTTACTGTTAAAGCAAAAAATAATTTTTTCACATACTTTTTTTGTGATTATCCCTAGATTCATGTGATGATGATATAAAATCTCAATCAAACACAGTAATTGTTTTAAGTTGTTTGCTGGCAGTACTTCTAATGATACTTATCCTCTTGATTCTTCTGTGTAAATGGCAGAGGTAAATATAATTTTATTGGTTACTACTAAATAACCATGTCATGAAAATAGAGCTATCATTCAGAATCAAGTCTCTTAGCACTCAAAATTCTTATCTGCTAAATTAAGTCATCATGAAGATGTAGAAGTCAGTCACTTAATTACTATTTGAGGGATAACGCATCCTGGCCTTCCAAACACCAAGGCCTTTAATTTTCAAAAACAGAACAATTCTGGTAAAAGACAATGTTTCAGGATAAAATTCTGTTATTCCACTTAATTTCTTCTCTTTTTTAGAAATCTAGTTAAATCCTGAGAAGCCAATTATTTTGGTTACTTTTTCTGAACCAACATTCTTTTGTGCAACTTTCATCAGACTCAATGTCTGTTTGCAGTAGGCTGAAGTAAGCTTGAGTGCATTCAACTTTAATAAGACTATATCAATATTTGGATTTGCAGTTGAATGACTGTTCATGTTTAGAATCTACAATTTAAAAAAACTCAAACCACCAAACAACAAACAAAGGCCCTAAATTTTGGCCTTTTTGGTGGAAAAAAAAAGCCAAAAATCCAGTATTTCAGAAAATGAGCTGAAAGTATATGGGACTCTGATAACCTTTTTAGATCATGAGATGAGTTTTTTCTCCTATACTTCTATGTTTCAAGTTTACATTTGTGTTCACTAAGTCAGTGAACTGTCAGTTGCTGCACCATCTTCCCTGTCTAGGGCACTGTAAAGCTTTGACTACTGCATGGAGCAGAATGGCACTTGCTGACTAGCTGGAAGTTTATATAGAGTCCAGATTTTACTGGGATGGGGTTGGTTGAAAATCCAGCAGAAAAATCACTCTTAGCCTGGTGGCATTATCATAGTCTTATAAGTGCTTTTTGCCTTTAGAACACATTTAAAAGAAATCAAGCCTAGAGTACTGTCATATAAAATATATTTGTGGCTACAGAACTGTGCTGAAGTAGATTTTTGTATGAATGACTACACTATAACAAAACATTCATTTGTATTTTTCTTTCCTCTTTGCAGGCTTCAAAAGTCAGTCATGCCTGTTATACCGGATCCAAAATACATATTTGCTGATGTCTTCAGTGATCATAACGGAAACTTCCAGGTAAACATTCCCTTCCTAGCAAGGCTGTGAACCCTACACTGTTGAGAATAATTTGAAAGTACCTACTGATACTTGCTCTGCACAGACGTTACCCCAAGCACTCCCTGACTCAAAAGGAAAGCCCTTCCACTTGTGCAGCATCACCAAGAGGATTCACAGAGCAAATACCAGAGTTCATACAATCAGTGTAGTGCTACTTTGGTACTGTGAAAAGACACTTGCTATAGAAAGAGACAGAGAAATTGCTGGAGAAGAATTTAAGGTTGTCCAGAGGCACAATATGCAGTGAGATGCCACCGTGGTGTTTGCATCCATTCCTGCACGCGGTAACTCAGGGAGCTTGCTTCAATCTGATCCTGCCCTTTATGTTTGTGAAGTGCTGTGAGACTTAGTACTGAGCCAGGGATGGCACTCATGCCTTTGGAGGCATCAGTCACAGTAGGTAGCATCCTCTCTTAGCCACAGAGGTGTATGATCACTAAACCTTTAGACACGAAATGTCTGTCAAATGAATAGATCACAGTTTTTGCTTTGGTTTTCTTACTGCTTCTTGAGTCCATGGTATCACATATGTGATGTATTTTTCTGTTTAATTGGGCTGTCTTTATGTTAATTACTACTAAGTTTGCTCTGAGTGGAGACAGGTCAAATATTTACATTTTCAAACCCAATGACAATATCAGAGAGCAGTAATATTGTTCCAGTGACAAACTGAAAACTTTCTATATATAACATAGCTTTAAACTGAAACCGAAGAAGAAAGATATAAATGCAAATTAATACCGAAGCTTTAATAGAGAAATGCTATGTTGTGTATGTCTCCATGTAAACTCAGTGTCAATTTAGATTAAGTCAGGGCTTGGGTCAAAGAATGCATGAATCTATCAAGGAGGGAACACAAGGTATTTTACACATCCAAGGTTTTCTAAAGGCCCTGATTAAATACAAAGGTGCATTTAATGTGGTCTCGATAATAAGTAGGAGTTTGTATGCATTTGTGAAATCCTGTCTGCTTTCCCACCATCCTGCCTTTCTTCCATCCTGCTATCTTGTGCCCTGCTTGTCTATATTGCTTCCTTTTCATCTTCTCCATTGTGGTTTATCCTGGAAAGATGCCATTATTAAAGGAAAATCAGTGTCTGCACAGTCAGGTTTCTTTTGATTGATATCTCAGTCCCTGCCAACATCAATATTTTCATTTTCCTAGGAATGGATAGACAAAACTGAACATGCAATGGTACGAACCAAGCTAGAATATGAAGAGCCAGAGTGCATCATTGAGGCAGAAAGCCAGCAAGAAGACGAGAAGAATAGTGACAAACAGGGGCCTCAAGAGAAAATCTTCAGTTTTTCAGGAGCAGCTGAAAATAATGACCCCAAAGCAGCTCAGATTGCCTGCCTGATGCCAACGTCTAACACCATAGCTTCTTTTGCTGGCTTCCAGGTTTTAATGAATGACGACATGTATGTGATGTTATGAAATTTGCATAATGCAGAAGGTGTTAGGAAATTATATAAAAGATCCTGATGAGTTTAGGGGAGTGGCTGAACAGAAAAGTTTGTCATGAGTAGACTCACGTCAAGAAAGACCCTAGGCTGTGTTATCTGGTTTCAGATCTGTTCTTTCCCAGCACTTATGACCATTTGGGCAGGCTGAGTGTTTAAAATAAATGCCTGTTAATTTATAGAGTTAGGATTTGTTGTTCTAATTGGGGCTTATCTCTAAGACTAAACTGAGCTCCGTTTTCCTGCTATGGAGACAACAAGAGCTCCTCCGTAATACACGTTCGCAGAACCGAGACTCAGTCCTTGCACTTATGGAGTATGTAGGGCAGTGCAAACTACACTGTTATTCTTCCCAAATGAAGAGAGAAAATAAAGGGATTGTTCTGCTAATGGTCTTTGTCTCACAAAGACCAGACCATATACTGCTCGTTTTCACAGGGATAGGATACTGTTTTGCAAGCCCTCCTTAGACTAGAAGTGCTTGCTTTCGTAAGCTGCTTCTCCCATTGTGAAATGTGGTGCTGCACGGCATGTGTCAAAGGTTTTATAAAGAGAAAGAATAAGCCCCGTGTCTAAGAACAGAAGAGCGAGGATGTACAGTATTGAGTCACGTTTTATCCTGCAAGCAGTACTGTGTAGGCAGCTTCCTCCAGAACAGTGGGGCTTCATGGGCCTCCTCTCAGGTCAGGTCCTCAGTATCTCATAGTCTTTGTATGACTAAGCAACTTCTTCTAGAAAGCTGAGGTGCATTTTGAACAATATTTATATTTAACTGAGTCGCATTTATTTCACACTGCTTTTTAGTGCAATCAGCAGCTGTAGACCTAAATTAGGACTTTTTATTCATATTGCTTACACCAGCCTCTTCTCAAACTATGTTCTGAAGTTTTCTAAACATACCATCTTTTAAAATATGTTTAATTTTAAATTTTAAATGCAATATACTATGCAATTAGACCTCAGAAAAAAAATCTTGACTATTCTGAGTTTCCCTGTATCACTTAGGTTACAAGGTATTTGAAAGCAAATTTTATAAAAGAGTTTAGGTGTTAAAAGCACCTATGATATGGCTAAGGTCTTGTAGATATAGTGTGATTATATGTTGAATTAGCTCCTGTTATTTACCTGGATATCAATCAGTCATTAAATGGCTTTATCAGTTGACTAAGCTTTGCCAATTGCACACTTTCATTGACTAATTCATAGTGTAACTTGGAAATTGCACAGATCATAAAATTACAGTGATTAGTAAAAATTTTTAATTCAGTGCTTAAAAACTTCAACTCCAGATCTCCTTGGGAATAGCAAACAGTAATACGGATCATTAGGTCTCAAAATCTGTTTCTAGGTGACCCAGTTTGCTGTACAAGAAAAAATCCAGAAATTTTCTGGCCAATAACTGGGAAACTTAACTGGAAGGATAGTTCAGGCACTTGACATTACAAGATTAACATGCTAACAAAGGATTTCTCATAATCCTGAAAGCATTTCTGCCTTTTCCTACCTAACACAGATGTGTGCAAGTTTTGGGGGGCCTTTTGTACACCCCACATTTCTGGAAATTTTTTATAAAGGTAACCATACAAAGTTTCAATAGCACCGTAAGAATGAAATGGATTCTAAACTAACACAAGCTGCATATAATTTGATGAGCAGAATAATCTACCTCAGCAAAGCTCTTCTCATCTGATATAAATTGGCATTATTGCATGAGAACCAAAGAAGTTACAGCGATTTACAACAGATAAGAACCTGTTCCAGTAATGATTCAAACAATAAAGTGGGAAGTACAGCCCAGAGTGTATTGCTTGGTTACTTCATGATTGAACTACGCATACATATGGTTGTCTACAGAGCTAGCTAGATGCCTTAATTAAACCACTTTCTGTTGAGCAAATACTTTTTTGTCTGAATTCAAAATGTTTTAGTATATTTTCCTGAAATTTTACTGTGGAAAAAAGGAGAAGAAAATCATGTTGAAGTGTGCTGTTTAAGCAGTGTTCTTGAACTGAAATGCTATAGTCATTTAAGTTTTTAGTACAAACTATAATATCTTGTATTATATTTTATAGACATAAAGGTTCTTTTTGAGTATGTATAAAACAATATTCACATTTTATATAACAGACTAGAAATAAAACAAATAAAACACCCACATATCTCAAATATTTATTTTTAAAAACATCCCCTTATGAAGAAAATAAAACAGGGAATTATTGAAATTCAAAACTAAGCCATTTTTTCCAAAAAAACCTTCCATTCTAAGAGACCTCTAGAAAAATGTCTACATGATGATGAAGAACATGATTTAACAAGAGGAAGGTCCTCCCCCAAATACTCATGATGATTCTATCAAACACGGTACAAGACGACACATATTAGATCAGCAACACTCATTGCTTGTGGGTGTTGGGGATGCTGGGGGAACCCAAGCATGTCCCTGAGCTCTGCTCTCCTGGAGCCTGCCATAGCCCATCTCTGATGAGATGTAGACCCTGGTAGCCCTCAGTCACACCAGGCAATGCTTCCCCAGGAAGGATGCCTGGTGCCCATGGCACCCTCTGCCCCAGCTCCTGGCATGAAGAGCTGGGAGCCAGCGCTCCTGGGCACACTGTGGCTTTGGGCTGAACCACTGCTTAGTGAAAGATCAATGAGATCAGTCAGAGTATGAGAAGCTGGACCTAAATAAAAAGTGTCTGAAGGGCAGAACAAAATGTCTTTATGAAAATACGATTGTATGCTTTCTACACCAAATCTAAGAGGGTTTGGATGATCTGGCACTTCAGAGAGGAGTATTAGCAAGCTAGACAAGTTCAAAAACACAGTTTCCTTTCAGTTATGCTGTATTACCAATCACCCCATCTTCATATCAGGATTGGTTTCAACTTTATGACATATTGACTGAAATAATGCCTTTAGCTTACACAGATTATAGACTTTGCAAGGGCATCACTTTGGTCCCAAGCCATTCAGGAGAGACAGCTGCCTCCAACAAAACTCTTAGTCTTCTAAGACTGTGACAAAGTGCTGCGTATTACCTTGCTGTTCAAATAAGAGGCACTTTTTTTACATTATAAAAATGAAGCTTTCTCATGTGTCTGGCTGTTGGCCTAATGCTCATTTTTCAGGAGAGTGCTGGGCAGCTCTGCAGCAAAATTCAAGGGCCTTTGCTCCACATGGTTACTGAACAGAAGAGTGGGCTGGCTTGGTGCTTTCAACTGCTGTCACAAACAGTGACTAGTTGGAAGGACTGTAACGTGAAGCTTCCCTAATCTCTCATCTGCCATTTTCCATCATTTTGTCACCACTTTTTCTTCTGTTCACTCTCCTCTCCTCTCCTCCCTTCCCATTTCCCAGATGGTCACACAACCGCGCAGCCTGTCTGTCGGAGCGGGCTTGCAGTGATTCATGGAAGCCTAGCTACAAATAAGCAAATTAAATGGCCAGACAGGAAAAGGCCTGTTCAACTCCCCACAGTGAGATGAAGGGTACACGGCAACTTTCACATCTTCCTTCTTTATTCAAAAGTTGTCATGTTCTTCAAAGGCATGAGCCCCTCAGATGCTACGTCTTGTTCCTAATTATATCCCACAGAAAGGGAGAAACTGTGTATCATACGGTAGTCCAGACTAATTGAATTGTATTTTCTCAACAGCAGAACAAACAGACTGTATATTTATTCCTCATGCAATTTATGTGCTAGCTATACCAGTGCTGAGCTAATTTACATTGATAGATTGAACATCTATACTGTTGTTTTGTTTTTGACGTCTGATTTTCAGTGAGAGGAAGAATAGGAGGAAATAACTTGTTTTTTTTTAAACAAGTAACAGGGCTTATTGAAGCCAGTCTTGCAACTTCTGCTTCCCCCTTTTTTTTTTTTTTTTTAATTTTTTAAAATACATTAGTGTTTTTCAATTTATTTGGAAATACATTTTGCACAATTATCAAATGCATAATTTTGAGCTGAAAATGGTTGCTTCTTTTGCAATGAACCTAGAAGTTTCTTACTGTGCATTCATAAAAGCTTTCAAAATTATCCTTGCTTTTTTTGGTGGCTTACATTTTTACAGTCACTAAACTCAGCCATGCAAAACATAGTGGTTTCGGGTTTTTTCCCTTTTTCTGAGAACAACGTGAGCTGCAAAGACAAAACTGAAGGGTCACACTCGTTGCATGCTTGAAAGACTGGACTTGATACAATCATTTTTTTTTGGAAAAGCCACGCAGATCTAAACTTGTCAAAATACCAAAGGCAAATAGTCAGCATTTTCCATGGGAAAAGAAAACACGGCCCTAATTGACCTTTTGTCACCGAGTATCTAAGTAGACATCTATCACCGACTAATCTAGTGGCCGAAAGAGGGGTATTATGCAATAAGAGAAGAAATGCAATAATAACTCTTGCTGTCCTGGAGATTTCTCGTAACCCTTATGACTTGTGAGCTGAATTAGTGTCACCTGCAGGGCTTGCTCCTGCTCAGTTTCTTGCTGGCAACTGCTGGCAGAAGGTCTTGTGGCTGGGAAATAACAGGTGTATGCTCACCCTCAGCATACACCTGGTCCCTGCATGCATCCACGCTTGCCATGCGACAAGCCTGGACAGAAGCCCCAAACTTGCAACAGGAGAAGCTGCAGCTGCTTGGGGTTCCTCTCTTATCCTCACCTGGGTGCGGCAGGGCCAGGGGAGCAGGCGGAGGCAGAGCCTGGCTCCCCTCCATGCCCCGCAGCCCAGCAGGGGATGCTCTATCACGGGCTGCAGATGAAAGAGCCTGTGTCTGTTTCCTAGTGAAATAACACCATTTCTTTCTCAAATCGAAATCCCTGGGATTAGTGATAGGATTCATGTCTACCGGCTCTGTGGCTGGAAGTTCTGGTTTCCTAGTCTTAGAGGAGAAGTGTGAGAAAGAAACAATATGCACCATATTAAAAAAAATCTCCCTGTATATATCTAGGCAGGCTGAAAATGTTATC